ATGACGATGACGATGATGATGATGATGGTCATGTATTCAGCACCTGGTATAATTCATGATCGCTGAACGACGCCTTGACGAATGAGTTTGCAATGATCGAAAGAGATTGCGAGGAATGATGAAGGTTGTCGGCGTTTTCTTCATCGGAAACATGATCATTCAGAGAAAGAAGAACAAACAGCTTCACCTTCACGTACGACGACATGAAACGAAAGAAATTCTCGTTGGACACGTCCAAACGAACAGCAGCATTCAGAACGCTTGCAACTGCCTAAAGACCTTATGAGGACTGAGAGAGGAGGGGAGGACGAGGAGGAGGACGAGGAGGACGAGGACGAGGAGGACGAGGAGGACGAGGAGGACGAGGAGGAGGACGGACAAGGAGGACAAGGAGGACAAGGAGGACAAGGAGGACAAGGAGGAGGAGGAGAGAGGAGGAGGAGGAGAGAGGAGAGAGGAGGAGAAGGAGGAGAGAGGGAGGGGAGAGAGGGAGTTCAATCGAAGAATGGAAGACAGGACAAAGATGATGTGCCAGCTGGCACATTCTTTGAACAGCAAACGGAAATTTCTTTGGTCACTTCACACCTGAGACGTGAAAGTCGTCGGATCGCAACGTTGAGAATTCTCAATGAGATGTTGGATGACGTCTTTCCGCTGGCCGTCAAAGTCAACACAAACTCAAGAGGTAGGACAAGACAAGACAAGACAAGACAAGACAAGACAAGACAAGACAAGAAAACACTACTTGCCATCCATCGCAACCTTGCCATCGAGTTCAGAATGATCGCGACGTTCTGCAAGCTCTTCATGCCCCCCGATAGGTTCAGGACAAGGGAGGACAGCATCGACAACGCCTGCTCCTCGCTCCTCCTCTCCTTGGCGAACGCGTTGAAGAGCATGGCGATGGTTTGCTCTGTGAAGACAAACTCCCTGACAGGATCTGCTTGCATCTCAAGGAGACGCCGGGTCACTGCACGCATCATCTGACAACATGCTCATCAGCTCCTTCCACTCGCATTCGCTCTTCTCCACCTCCTCCCTCCTCCTCCTCGTCGCCACTGCGGTCGCTGCTAGCGCCACATGTTTGGGGCCGAGCGCGCTCATCTCCTTGCAGATCTATCAAGCAAGGAGTCACACAAAGAAAGGGGCCAGAGGAGGAGGAGGAGTGAAAGGAGCAAAGGAGGAGGAGCGGCGAGGAGAAGGATTGAGAATGGGGAATAGAGGAGGTAATGTTGGAGGAGGAGGAGGAGGAGGAGGAGGAGGAGGAGGAGGAAGAGGAGGAGGAGGAGGAGGAGGAGGAGGAGAGAGGAGGAGGGAACATTGCATTCACCTGTGCAGCAAGGTGATCAAACATTCGATTTTTCCTCTCATTCAATGCGATCGAGTCGATCCCAACTTGTCCTTCCAGCCGTTTGATGTGATTCAGAGCCAGCACAGCATCCTCTGGCTTCAGAACTTCCTGAAATTTCATCCATGCTGCTCCCTCTCTCTTTCCCGCTCCTCCCTCCTCAACAGTGCAGATCGTCTCCAGTTCTTCCAGCAGATCGGTGATGTTCGAACAGTAGAGAAGTATTTTCGGGATGCTCTGCCGTTCTGGCTTCTATCAGCCAACAATCACTGAAACATCTCCAACCTCCTCCTCCTCCTCCTCCTCCCTTCCTAGACCCGCCCCTTCCCTCCTCCTCCTCCTCCTCCTCCTCCTCCTCCTCCTCCTCCTCCTCCTCCTCCTCCTTACCAGACTCAAGCCTGAAATCACCTTGGACACAGAGCTCGTCAACGTGCTGACAAGGATTTCACTTCCCAGCGCGCTGAAAGTTCCAGTCCCGGGGTCAAGACTTTCACTGTAATCTCCTTTCCTTGCGGGCGAGTCTTCCTCTACCCGCGCCGTCCCATCCTCCTCCTCGCTGTACTCCGACGAGACGTTACCAACGGCCGGCACCACCACAGGATCCTCAGGCTTGATAAGCGTCGTGAGCAGCCTGCTGATGGGGAGCTGTAGACCAGCATGAGGCCTGTAACAGGGGTAGCACAGCTCTGGTCACCTTGGAGAGAAAATCCTCGGAGACGTCCTTGAGCAGTTTGACTGATGACCTGAAGAAAGGAACGGTCTTACACGGAGTACCAACAAACAACTTCAGCCATTCTCACGCTTCAAGGTTGCCGTCTAGCATTTCGTTGTCTTCCTCCATCTTTTCCCACCAGGCTGCGTCCGGCCCAGCAGCTTCCTGCCCATCGACCTCGCAAGACTCCTCGTCGCTCGCAGTTCCATCTCCCGACGCGGAGGATGGAGAACTCTGTCCTGCGTCCGTTCGCTGCATGCAGACCAGCCTGCGGTGGTCCCGACGGAGGCAGCGGAGCCGAGCACGCTCGCGCAGGCACCCTCGGGCCTCATGGCGGCGGCGGAAGAAGCTGGCGTGCCCAACAAATGCTTCTCGGGAATCTACGGGGGTGAGCATGACTGGAAGGATCGACATGATGGCAAGCAGGAGGAGGAGCAGATGCGACATGTCCGCAAGTCATGTTCGGGTCGGCGATGTTTCGTAGGCCATGGTTTCTGACACCTGTCAGTTCCTGTCCTCCCTTCGTTTCATCGCTCTCGTTCCCTGCTCCCTGCTTCCGCCACTCTTCCTTCCCCTCTTCCTTTTCTATCAATGCTCCCTGCTCCCTGCTCCCTGCTCCCTGCTCCCTGCTCCCTGCTCCCTGCTCCCTGCTCCCTGCTCCCTGCTCCCTGCTCCCTGCTCCCTGCTCCCTGCTCCCTGCTCCCTGCTCCCTGCTCCCTGCTCCCTGCTCCCTGCTCCCTGCTCCCTGCTCCCTGCTCCCTGCTCCCTCGCTCCCTCGCTCCCTCGCTCCCTCGCTCCCTCGCTCCCTCGCTCCCTGCTCCCTGCTCCCTGCTCCCTGCTCCCTGCTCCCTGCTCCCTGCTCCCTGCTCCCTGCTCCCTGCTCCCTGCTCCCCTAGAACCTTTTATCGCTGCCCTCGACTTTGCACTAGTGTGAGTAAATAATTTAGTCTATAAGATGAGAGGGGTGAGTGAAGGGTAGGGGTGGATCAACCCTGTATGGTGGGTGGGTACACTGATGAGAATACCGACATATTTATGGTGTAAAATAGGGGTATATGAAGTTCAAGTGGGGGTGATATGGTAATGTGAGGGGTAGTATAGAGGGGGTATGGGAACAGGTGGAGCGTCTCATTCCTTCGGCGGCGGCCACCGCGACATCGCTGCCGCGCGGGGGACTTGTCCTGCGCGCCGTTAAGTGAAGGTATCAGTTAAGCTTGGGGGACAGCAGTCGGCAGGATTAGGTTTGGTTCTCGCTGTCTTTTCTCTTCTCGCCGTTTGGGCGACAGTGTCAGGGTCAAGCCTCCTCGACTCTCCTGATTGTCCTCGTACTGATTTTAACTTAACTTTGAGTAAAGGGTTCTAGGGTTGAGGATAAAGGTTGATGGCGATGACGCAGGGATGGCACGGAACGACGAAATGGCGTGAAGAGGAGGAGGAAGGACAGAGAGGAGAGGAGATATAGCTCTGGGGAGAGAGGAGAGCACCACGTTGGAAGGAGGACGAGTCGGAGAGAAAGAGGACAGACAATTCCCTGGCTCCAACAGTTCTCCACTTTTAAGTCCACCTGAGTTGTTCAGAATGCTACCGAGTTGAGACTAGGGCGATTGGCTGAGGAATACCATGCTCTCAGCTTCAGCCGGAAGCTTGAGATCCTTGCTGAGGCTGCTGCTGCTGCTTGCAGTGCTGGTGAATCCCTTGAACGGGGAGGACCCACAAGATACGAGCCATAGGACATCCAGGACTGTGAAGCAGTATGGCGTCCGCTCGTTCGTCACGGACGATGGTTCCGACATCCGGCTGGATGACAGACCAGCAAAGGATATGGGGAGCCAGCTTCCGAGGAAGTCTCCTACCGCTAGGATGGGCCCGGTCTCATTGTGCTTGCTGGGAGGGACCCTTGGCCTGATCCACGTGCTCACTGGGCCTGATCACATCAGCGCCATTGTGACGCTGTCAGTGGGAGGAAGCTACAAGGCATTCTGGCTGGGGATGCGATGGGGGGTGGGGCACAGGTAGGAACTTGTGGTGGGAGCGGGACGGCAGGGTGGGGTGTGTGACTGGTACCTGCAGCATTGGGCTGTTGATAATGTTCGTTGTGTTCATCTACATGGGGAAGGGAATCATAGGAGAAGGGAGCGCGTTGAACTACGTCGCTGATTTGGTGAGACTTGTAAAGACTTCTAGCATGAGATTTGATGCTTTCGTTGTCAGTTCGTGGGTGTCTTTATGATTGTGCTGGGGGCAGTTGGGATTTTCCGAGCTTACAGGTACACATGATTAGGGCCTTGCCGACAGTTTTTGACCAGGAGCCTGTTCAGAAGTGAGACCGTGCAAGTCAGTCAGAATGAAAACTCTGCCCTTGACGGGAACTCAAAGGAGCTCGAGCTTGTGTCGGAAGGCGGCGATGCAGACATTGAATCAGGCATGGACGTGGATGCAGAATCAGAGGTGCTGTATCTTATCGTTTGATTTGTATGTCTTCCACCCCTGAGATTGTTTGTGTCAGAGTCTCCTGGCTGATTTTCAGAAAAATGGTACTTGTCCTTTCAAGTGAAGTCGTTCACTTGACAGATACGTAGAGTCGAAGGATTACGCGTTCGAAGTGATCGTCAATGGGAACACCACAAGCTCAGCAAATTCGACGAGGTATCTTTGTCATCGGTCGGAGCTTCAAGGGTTGAATCCGCCATCAGATGCTGCGGCTTGAGCCTTTCCTGTGGCGTCTGCCGCAAGATTCTGTTGATAAGCAACGCCACGGGCCAAAAGATTCTATCGGTAGAAATCATCGCTGCACATGATCTTGGCCTCTATGACGATTTGATCTCACAGCTCGGCGTTGGAATCCTTCACGGCATAGCTGGACCTGGAGGCATCCTCGGCGTCCTTCCAGCGGTGACCCTCCTGCACCTGCACCTCAGACTCCATGGCTGATGGACAGTCGTGCAGGTGTCGATGCACGATGCGGTGAAGTCCACGTGCTACCTTGGCTCGTTCTGCTTCACCAGCATCCTGGTCTCTCCTACCTGCCCGAGTGTTCGTTGCTGACGCCATAGCAGACAATGGGTGTGTTCGCGGCCTTCTGGGGGGAGCTGACTTCGAGATTAGGATCCACCAGCAGGGTAGAATGTTGAGGGGTCGATGACAGGAGTAACTTCTGTCTCAGGTGCAATTCTACCTCATCTTCGTGTCCTCCGCATCTTCTGTGGTTGTGGGTGAGGCCCGCTGGACTGGATTGCATCATGACTGGTCACTAACTTGCCGTCCTCAGGCGTCGTCTGGGTGGTTTTGCTGCACCTGGGCACACTGGACAAAGTTATCTGACCTGACTGAGATCTGTGTCGAGCTCCATCAGCATCCCACTCCGACTTCAGCACTAGGGAGTGTTTGTAAACTTCGATATCTGCTGCTGTGGGCTCAAAACTTCTCCCTGCTCTCTCTACCCTGCTCTCTTTCTCTGCGCAAATTTCTTCTTGGAGCGAGTCAAATGACTTTAAGAGAGCATGATGTACATGCAAGCGTTCCAGAAAGAGCACGTGAACCACGAGCAAGCAGAGCCGCTAGGTGATTCGCAACATCTTGTCGTGATGGTTCGGAAGACACACGATGACCTGCAGTTCAAGTCAAGGTCATGATAGCGAGAGCATACAAGAAGAGTGCGGAGACCTGAGCCTGGAGT